CTCTGAGCGATCGCTAATTTGTGACTGGATTGGTTGTCAATTTCATACAAGGGGGCAAAGGTAACAATGTTGTGTCAGCGTAGAGTCCCTTCCCTTGGTGAACCCCTATACCAATGTTGTACACCCTAAAAATAAATACATGATTCAAATACAAGCCTACAGAGATTTCATATCTAATTTAACTAAAAATTAATTTTAAAAAAAATTTATTGAAAGTCAAAAATTCTTTTTATTCATAATATTATCAGTTTATCAAGGCTCTTAAAATATTTCTTTTACAGGTAATTATGTAAGTTATATACTGTATCATTAAAAAAAATATTAGCTGCACATAACAGGAAGATTACATGGACTGCTTAAAAATAAATATCTTATAGTGTGTGGAGTATAATTCATAAATTTAACTAAATTTATATAGATACATGACTATAGATTTATTATGATAATACAGTAAAACACAGTTGTAGCGAAGTCCTAGGGGACCTGTGAATTCAATTCGCTATATCCGTAATTCATTATATCCGTATAACAAATTTGTATAACCATTATAGCAAATTTGCAATATGCATGATTTCCTTTAGGTCTTACTACCAAATATGTTAGAGAAGCAAATATTAAGAAACATATCTTTGATAACAATGGTTTTATTATGAATGGTATTTTATATACAAATGCTAATTGGAAATAAAGTTAGTGAAATTATCAAAAATTTTATAATCTTTAAAAGTTTGTTATAAAAGATGTAAATTTAATTATATTTAACCCAACGGGACTCAAAATCAGTTCGCTATATCCGTAAATTCGTTATATCAGAATTCGTTATAACTGTATAATTTTACAAAGATTTGTTAAGAATTTTGCCGGTGACCCAGAAAATCTTTGCTATATCCGTGAATTCGCTATATCCATGTTTCGTACTAAACGAGTTTCACTGTACCTTTTTGATAAGGTAAATATAGTATAAGCATTCCAAAAGTATAAATAAAACATTCAAAATTAATCCAAAATTTAAATAAATACTGTAGAAGTACTTTTTTCCGCGTGGTATTAATTTACGCTATGTACGCGCTTACAATTTTTCCGCGGAAATTTGTCCAAGCGTACTTAATATAAATGTAAGGCACATATAGTGACAATCTAGAAAATCCGCGTAATTTTATACCCACGGATTAAACAGAAATTGAGATTCCGCGGAATAATGACCCCGTGGAAAAAAGTACATCTACAGTAAGCACTTAGAAAACAGTACACCAAAATGACAAGACCCTATATATTTAAGCCCTCAGGTCCTTATTGCCAATCCAGAGCCAGGAGATGAAATAAAACAGAGTGTGGGTTTGGTATCGGACACTATCAGTACACCCTGGGGCCTCCTCATACAGTCATGCTCCTCCCTCCACCTGAGACAGAACTGCTCCCCTCCCAGCCTCTGTTGGACTTAACTGTGTTTTAGGGATACAAATGGCCAAGGACAGCTTGGCTTGACTTTGTAGTTGTACTAACCAGTCTGGGCGGTTGCCAGTCTTGGGAACCACATTCAGTCTCCTCATGCCAGTACCACTCTCCAAGGAGAACCGCTTACACCTGGGTCAGATAAAAGGAAATGTGTATGCTTTCAAGTTCACAAGAGCTGTCCACAATTAGAATTTCAATCATGAAAATTTTTTTTTCCTCTCTCCTCCTTTCCAATGCAAAAAAATATTACCAATTAGGTCCTAACAGCTTTTGTTGAGAAAAATTATTTTCCATTATATATGTTTAAATGTCCTCTTACTCCTTTGAAAAATTTTGACTCATTCTCTGAACATGTCATAGCGGACAAACAATAGTTCCATTGGTCATGATTTAAGTGAACTTGAATCTACACAACATAAGGGATGCTTTTGACTCCGATGAGCTATAAATGATCATCAAAAGTAAAATATTACCACACAGGGACACTGTCTGGGCCCTGGACTGACTTTCCTACTCTCATTGTACATCTGTCAAAGGAAAACAAACATAGGTTAAAGGTGAAGTTGAATATATATTCTTAGAGGCATCGTCCTATCAAATTTAGCATACCAGTCTATATTTACAATAACTTAATTGAGAATGAGATGTTTAATTGAGCAAACAAACCAACCATAGCTGAAATCATTTCCATAATACTACACTCAAAAAAGTATTTGAAATTTTTTTTTATTTAATGTCACAAAGCTAAGAAATTTATTACATATTTTTAAATGATGTTCAAAGAACTGAATCATGGTTTTTTCAGCTTAAGTCTTTTGAAAGAAGCTATTAGATAATGACAATGTGCTCACAGGTTGGGCAGGTCCTTCTCGGCGTAACAGAAGAGTAGCGGGGTGACAGAGCGGGCTAGTTCATGTTCTTCGTACTGTCCCGAGGCGACCTCCTGGGAGAAGTCCGGTCTGAACTGTCTGAACACCAGGGGGAGCCCCGACTTGTTGACCAACCAGTAAGGGGCCGTCACATGGATCTAGAAAAAATATAATCATATGGTTAGTTTTTTTATGTTAAAGAATTAATGAGAAGGCATAGTGACACATACATGTACATTATCCCTGAATTACATTGCACATGACTGTAATATTGTAAGTTTATTATTTCTAACACAAACATGTCTGACTTAATAACCTTTTACTAGAACTCTATTTATCTCTCAAGAAGAAAAATAGTAAAGTACAAGAAAATTTTGAACAATTTACAAATATATTGTACTCAATCTAAATAAAGAAATCAATGTTTTCAGCATCATATTAAGAAATTCACTAGAACCTACCGAGACTGATCCTCCCTTCCTGAAGATGATTTTGATGAGTAACTCCAGCAGTCGTTTCTTGGTGTCGTACAGACGAATCTTAACCTTGTGGTACTGGGGGCCGGTGGTGACGGGGGGAGCCAGACTCTTTACAGGTTGGGAAGTTCTCCAGATTCAGTCCCAGCTCCATCGCCTGCTGGGGGTCTGCCTGTAACAGATAGTGTGGGTGAACAAACTTAAATTTAGGATACCTGACCATGTTTTGATACAACTTTTATCTTCTTGGCCAAGTGAATAATGTTGACATTTTTAAAAGATGGCATTAGATTTTCATAAAGTTGTAATTATCTCCACTTGGAAAAAGGTGTACTGTGGCCTTTTCCTTGAACAAACTTACTAGTACATGGATTGCATGACATCAAACAAGATCTTTTAATGAAGGTCTCCAGCCTGCTTGTACTTACAGCATTTAAGTAGGCAATTTTTATATGAAAGCCTCAATCCTGCTTGTACTTACAGCATGTAGGTAGGCCTTCTCTCCTGTCTTCACTGTTCCACAGATCTGTGTGTCTTTGATGTAGTACCTCCAGCTCTATGGGCAGCAGGTTGCAAATTCAGTCACAGCTGGACGGATGGATACAGTGTGTCCTGGTAGAATCAAACTCGAGTCCTCTGTCAGTAACTGCTCAGGGTAGTTCTCCCGCTTGACCGACACACAGAATCTAAAATATACAAACACATACAATCAAGTTCTACCAGAAGAAAAGTAAGTTTCAATCTAAACAACTTATTTTCTTTTTCAAAATTAAGAATACCATCCATCACCCAATATACTCTCTTTTCCCATTTTTGGCAATAATTCATATTAAGTTAATTGTTTATCAGACAATTACATATATATATATATATATATACCGAACAAAACTGGTGATAATTTATGCAATTCAATTTGTTTTACCAAAGCTTGCAGAGAAATAAATTGGAAATTGGATTTATATTCATTTAATGAAAAAATAATATACAATATATAAATTCAAAACTTAATTTTTTTTTAATATCCATTGTAGATAAAACAAATAAATTGACTTTTTTCTGCTGCATACAACAAAGAAATAAAGGTTTATGGGAGTTAGTGTTACCTATAAACTCCATTCCCTTCAGAAGAGATACATTTCATTATTCTCTCCTTGACTTCCCCTGCCAAACGAACATGCCTCCATTGATTGGTCGATTGCAATACTTCACCGGCCAATCAGATGGCCTGACATAGAGCATGGAAGACACATATGGAAGTGGAAGTGGTAAGGCTCCATTGACTGGGATTTCCATGATATTAAATTTACCTGTATGCAGAAAGATACACATTTATAACAATCTGTTTAATCATGTTATTCTTTTAAATTTAGCTTTAGCCAACCCACCCCCACCCCACCATTCACATACAAGATCCAAATAAGTGAAGATGGAGATATTTTGGAGAACAGAAAACATACACTGTTATTCAATAAAAGGTACACAACATAGTTTTTTTAATCTCACCAAATTTGAAATTCAGAATTTGTTTAAAATTTTTTCCATGTGTAACAAACTACATTTATCAAAGGTCCTGGAATGTTCTTCATTTAGTCAATTTAAAAGTACAGGTGATACATTTAAATCTATATTTATCTCCAACCAGGAAGTAAATTACAGATCTCGGTCAAAGTCTCGACTAAAATCTCACTCTGACATTCCAAAGTTTGTTTGTTACAAAAGAAAGTGATTTGTGAACAAAAAAGCAGATATATACATTTAGAGGTCATTTGCATTAAAAGCAAAATTACTGGGTTCAATTCTCAGACTGAAATTTAGATGAATTTTTCTCAAAAAAGGAATTTTATTTCATAAAAAAAGACATACTTCTCTTACATAACTTAAAGTTTAATACAATAGAGTAGTTTTAGACAGTCATTGGACTTTTTGAGGGTCATCTTGCAGTGGTTCTATAATTAGAGCCAGACAACATTATTGCAGTTCAGCTTTAACAATTAAATTGAAGAGGTAATTTAACTGCTGCAGTTCCGGAACCCATATGCATGTAACAAACTTTTAAATGTTAATTTCAGATGGCACATTCCAAACCTAAAATTCCAGGCACTGCCCAACACTTTCTAGAATGTGGTTTTGAAGATTGTGAGAGAAAGTTGAATTTTATTTCAATTCCTGCCATCATCAAATGTATAAACCATGCAGAGACCAACATTTAAAGATTCCAGAAAACAAAAACCATGAAGTGGTCCTTTATCAGAAACGTAGACGACAACTTCCTGTGAAAAAATGCAAGATCCACCCCAACAAAGAAGTAATATTTACTGCAAAGACTGCAATATTCCTTTATGTTCAAAGTGTTCAACAATGCAAGAGCACCATGAGACATTGCTTTATCGATTTAGAATCTATTTATACAGAGAAATTTGAACTTTGCCAAAAGGAACTCTCTAAAATCCATAATTACTTTGTTTTTACGTCACAGGATTTACAGAGAGAAGTTCTAGATGCCACAGAAGTTAAACAGATCATGGACAGCATACGGACATCCATGAAGGCTGAAGCCGAGTCTCTCAAAAACATGGTGGACACAGTGCTTTCAGAAAATATGGAAGAATTAAACCAAATAGAGAAGTCATTACTGGAGAAATTACAGAGCCAAGAGAAGACGTTTGATGATTATATTGCCTATCTCAGTGACCTTGTTAAAGAGTTCCAGAGTTATCTGTCCTCTACTGAGCTCACTAACTTTACAACTCAACTTCTAGACAACTTAAAAATAAAATCCATACCAGAAACCACAAAACCTATCACACAGAATTTTCTTCTGTTGGATACAACAAAAATGATGTTGCAAAATTATTAGGCAATATAATTCAAACAGACAGAAAGGTAGAACTAAGAAGAGTAAAGTCTATGGAAATTCCTCCTACTGCTACATCAATGAATTCTACAAGTGAACAGACAAAACAAGATAAACAAGTGAAATCTGACAAGAAACAAACAATGTCTCTATCTGCCTCTGTCACCAAGGTCAGGGAGTTCAATGTACCAGGTGTTTATGGTGTATACCATGTATCACTAGATCAATCAGACAGACTCTGGATCAGTGACAATGTGGGTAATCTTGTCCAAACAGATCTACAGGGGAATGTGATACAGAAGATAAAAACCAATATAGTGGTAAAACTTTGATTACCACACAGTAACACAGGACAGGGATCTGATCTTTACAGACCAAAACAAGAAAGTCATCAATAGGAGAACACAGGATAATAAAGCTAAAATTAAATATTCACTGAATTCATTAAAACTGGAGCTTTTTTGGGAACCACGTTAAAAATAGCATACACTCCTCCCACATCAACGGGGACTTACTGGTGGGGATGAGGACAGATGAAGAGGGTACTAAGTCACCAGGTACAACAAGACAGGAAAAGAACTAGTGAGAACATACAGAGGGATAGCGAAGGATGGGAACTGTAAGTAATTGACACTACATCACAGAAAACATCAATGGAGATATCTGTGTATCAGAATATAATAAAAGGGCAGTAGTGGTGCTGAATAAATCAGGACAACACAGGTTCTCCTACACAGGTCAGAAGTCAGAGTTCCGTCCCTATGGAATCTGTACTGATGTCCTCGGATACATCCTGGTGTGTGATATTCTCAGTAACTCTGTTCACCTCCTTGATCAGGATGGCCAGTTCTTGTCTCTATTACTCACACCACAACAAGGGGTAGGGTATCCCATTAGTGTGTGTGTGGATGATGAGAACAATCTCTATTAGGACAATATAAAACCAACACACTGACAGTGTACCAGTATCTACAGTGATTCTTATTCTGACATAAAACACTTTGTTTGAATATCCTGAATAGTGTACCCTTCAATAATCATTATACTGAACAAATTGCACAATACTATTACATGTAATTGATTTCAATAGTAAACATTTCATGAATACTTTTTTGGATTCCCAATTAGAGAAGATATCTACTTATTTTACTATGTGGTGAATGGTGAAAATGATTATGAAACAAAATAATCTACAGTAAAACATGGTTATAGTGAAATGCTTGTAATTACATGTAATTCCTGCTAACAATATGCTTTTAAAACATTTTGTAAATTAAAATTGCACATCCCTGGAATTTCACTTTCAGCTTATTTTACTGTACTGATCAGGGTTCTCCACATTTGAAAATTTAACCATGGAGGAAGCTGCGTAAAGACAAAATGTGACCAAAAACTCGAATGCGCATTAGACTTCCTAATCTTCATTAATCAATGACTGGTTTAACAATTTGTAAACTTTACCATTGCAACACAAAACAATGGAATAACTAACTCTGTTTAAAGTTTTAAAAAAATAAGATTAAATATTGAAAGGATTTATCCAGAATTATTTTACCTCACAAATGTACCAGAATTTTCCCAAAACTGTAGTAATCTTCCGAAGGAATTAAAAAAAATTGTTGATACATTAACCAGGGCAATATTATTCAGAAATTAATGATTGTAAGAATTGTTGTAGCCTGTTGTATGAAATGTTTTGTTTAAATATGACTAAAACTGATGAATGTTTTTTAAGTAAACACACAAAGGAACAATTGGATAAGTGTCCTTTTTTTCTAAGCATTCTATTTTTCTAGATAATGAGTTTTTCACCAAGTTCTGTTTACCTCTCCACGTGCCCCAGTGCTGAAAATAGCGCCACGCGACGTCTCATAACAACGGGAAGTAACTCTAAAAATAAGACGGCGATTGACACTTAGGTCCTATGCACATTTTATCGAAACGATAATAGTCAAATCTTAAAAAACACAGCAGGGGAAATTAATTAAATACAGAGGAATATTGATTTTTTACAGAGTATTTTTGGGCTAATATCATCAAGATTTCAGACGTTAAACCAGAAGTCTCTGTCGAGACTGTAGCTCTACTGGTTTGTACTTGGCATTTTAAAGGTATTTAACAGAAAATTCTATTTTTAATAACCTTGGCAACACCGTTCATTGAAATCAAAAACTGATGCACTATTCTATTATATCTAAGTGTAGTCTACTTGTGTTCCAAGTTATACTGAAATCAGACCAAAACTGTAGAAGGAGTAGCATTTTAAAGGAATTTCACAGAAAATTCTATTTTTAGTAATCATGGCAACACTGTTCATTGAAATCAAAAACCGATGCACTATTCTATGTATCTTAGTGTAGTCTACTTGTGTGCCAAGTTATATTGAAATCAGACCAAAAATGTAGAAGGAGTAGTGTTTCAAAGGAATTTCACAGAAAATTCTATTTTTAGTAACCATGGCAACACCGTTCATCGAAATCAAAAACTGATGCACTATTCTTTGTATCTTAGTGTAGTCTAATTGTGTGCCAAGTTAAATTGAAATTAGATCAAAACTGTAGAAGTAGTATCATTTTAAAGGAATTTCATAGAAAATTCTATTTTTAGTAACCATGGCAACACCGTTCATCGAAATAAAAAACTGATGCACTATTCTATGTATCTTAGTGTAGTCTAATTGTGTGCCAAGTAAAAATAAATATTAAAATCATCCCACTGTGGAACATGTAGACTGGTCCTTCAGATGAGCATATATACCGTTAAGGAATGTTCACAGAAAATTGCTCAATTTTTAGAATAACAAAATGGCAACACCGGCAAGTGGTTCATCGAAATTAAAAACCGATACATTTATTAACCCTTATCATGCTTTATAATCTTTGTATAATGTTATAACTTGTGTGCATAAAACAATTATTTTTTAAAATCAGTGTCTTTAAATTACTGTAGAATTTTTATTTCTTAAGATACATCCATAATCCTTATATAATTTTTATAGTTTACAAATGACAGATGTCTAAAAACTCTGTGTAAGTTACATAAGAAAAGGTAATGCAGATTCTACACAAAACTACACTAAAATTTCATTCTTTTAAAACAAATAGATTTCTTTCATCAAAAACAGTTTTGATGTGACATTTCATCACCTTTTCCTATACATATATCTAAGTTACAGGTACGCCACGCATGTGCATTCTATCACATAAGCTCTAAAATTTCATTCTCTGACAGGTACGTCAAAAAAACACTTAGTTTCGACATTTACCCTTCCTCATATATCTACGTGATACAGGTACGCTCAGGTAAGACAGGTACGTTACTATATGTCTTTGAATTCTTGAAAATATTCAGTTATTTATGTTTATTTATTTCAATGGTGTGAATAATTGTAAAAGGAAAATACTAGAACAAGAACAAAGAACTCAAATTCGCAGTTTATTTCAGAAAATCCACAGAGCCAGTTCTCGTGTATATCAGTAGTTTATATATAATATATACATCTCCGGTATAAATTCTGAAATTAATAAAACGAACATACTCAAAGCACTCAAAAGCAATATCTTTTTCAAATTAACAAGATAATTTAAAATAAATGCGCTTCTTATTCGGCGTTGTTTACATTCACAGCTGATACATACCGCCATTTTTGTAACTGAAGTATTACAAGGAATACAACCTGCGTCTTTTTGGGGAGCTTCACACCACGTTGTATAAACACAATTAAATAGGGCTTATAGATAGTATATTGCAGGTGTAATCTCTGAAAATGCAAGTTTTAAATTCTTAAATTTAACCATGGAATGGGAATTTCCGATATTCAAAAACGACTTATGCCGCGACCAGCAAATGTTAACCATGGCGCACACAAATTTAACCATAAGGGTTAATCACCTCCATGGTAAAACCCCTTGTGGAGAACAAAGGAAAGCAATCATATGAAAATCAGGTTATATCAAAAATTTCATTTTCCCATGATAAAGATATACTCTCCTTGGTAAATTAAAAAATTTACTGTGGATAAAATTTTCCACAAAGGAAAATCAATGAAAAAAAAATTAAAAAAAGGAATTATTTGGAAACCAGTTTATATCAAACAATGGACTTGACTGGAAAAACTATTTACATGTGATATGACTAAGTTTTTACAGACAGTTACCTTCCAAGCCTGAGTGTGTGGCCATTTTAAGGTCAATGCTGGAGTCAAGTTCATTTCTGACAATCAGTGCTGATCTGACCGTTATCAGTTTACGAGCTTTTCCTTCCTGTTTGACATCAAACACAAGTCGTGCTGGCTTCTGTCTGGAGGGGTCATGTTTAGAACTGTATGTTAACTGAAAAATAAGAACAAATCAGCTTTTAGAAAAACGTAGAAGTAAAAAAAGCTAATTTAATTGTCAAATAATGTAATTGTATGTGACCACTGCAATTTTGAAATTATCTATTTAATTTTTGTAATTGTATGTGACCTTGAACTTGCTTAAAATAAGGTGACCTTGATTTAAAAATGACACATCAAAAGTTAATACAAATACACCCGTTATAAGAAAGTAATAAACACACAATTTTCACCTCATGACAATTTTTCTCTTTGTTGTGGAAGAAGAAAGGCATTTTTTCTCCAGACTCCACTTTTTTCCACTCTGAAGCCTTTATATAGTGGTCATCTTTAGTACCTTTTCTTCTACCTGACCAGTAAAAATTCAACATGTCAAACATCATCAATTTTACATCAATTCATGACAGGAAACAGCACTTTGGAAAATGGTTCAATATTTATAAAATTTATCATGTTGACATTACCATTACTATTTATTATGATGCAAATCAAGCATATACCACATTTCAAATTGGTTTGGATTTCTCAAACACCTAGATAATTGACCAGTTCTTTATAAATGGAGAATTAATTTTATTTAATATTAATAAGTACATATAATTATAAAATTACATTATTGTTGACAAGTAATTCAAGCTACCAGTCAGGATGTTCTACTTCCATTGATGAACTCTTCATAATTAGAGGCCCGTTTGGTCGTCTGAGTGGCACGGCATGCATTTGCGGATAATACAAAACATGCTAATCTCAATCCAATTTTAATGTTAATTAAATGTATTTGTCATTACAATTAACGAATAGAACTAAGATGAAAGAGAGCGAGATCCCCAAATTTATTATCCATTAATAAAAAAAAATACATTTTTGAGGCATGTGTATTGTATTTAGATGTAACTTACGATAAATAGAAACATACACTGATATCATTGTCATTTCTACTCTTGATGGATTCAAGTCAACAAAATGAAATATTTCATTTGCATTTCGATAGAATTTGTTCATTGACTGTAAGTTATATATAGTATAAAAATAGTTTCTCTATTGTAGTTTTTACACAATAAAACCCCCGTCGGCTCCTTTAAATAACAGCTTGAGAGCATTCTTAAATAATTCAAGGCTTTTATGCACTTTTTGATTGACTGAAAAATTCATATACGTGTATATTGTATAATCTGTGTTACCTACATCACTGTCAAAAACATATCCGTTTGCTTGATGTTAATTTGAATTTTGCACAATTTAATGCAGTTTTTCAGGTGAAGCTTTCTTTTTTTATATACTTAAATCAAATTATAAAGAAAATCAATGCATTTAATATCTTACCAAGTTATACAGTATAACCTGGGTTGGAACAGTTAAATACATTTTTTTTATTAACCACTTCACATAAATTCATTCAAAAAGAAATTATATATACTGACTTGCATTTAATTAGAAACTTAATGAAAAACAAATATCATGAACAATTTATTCTTTAATAATCAACAAATGGCAAATAACAAACAAAAATTCTGACCATATAGATCCATTTCTATATTAAAAAGAAAGAGTTTCAATAAAATTACAATCATACATATGCAAATCTTATCATGTGTTTATAATCAAATCTGATTAATTAATACATTCAGGACACTTGTTTATCATCAGAATTGAAGCACAACATTACCAGCTGTTGAATGTTTCATTTCCTGACAGATAAATGCATTTATTTAATTATCTAACAATCTCTTAGACTAAGTCTTGCAATCATATCTTTAATATCAAGTTACAAATACAATAAATGAATGTATAATCAAAATACATTCCTAGAAATGTGTATGGGAAAAAAAATCATTATGCATCATTTTCAAACTTTCTATCACCAAGTTATGAAGTAATTCACATGTGATGAAATAAATCCAATATGACACGTTTGTTCCTGATGGCTCTATAAATCACATACAACATGTTTCTTTCTGATGGCTCTATTTATCCACTATGTATCTTCAGCCTCTGTAGACGTCAGTGTGTGTTGTTGTTCTTCATACAAATTACGGACGTAGTTGATCTGTTGACTCACCTGACAAGAAATAGATAACAGTGAAGCATACTGGTAGTGCTCCAGCCTTCATTGTGTTAACATGCACAGCCAATGTATGAACTTTTTGACATGATGTATTTTTATGTCCCAGTCAAAGTTACACAGTTTACAAGAACTCTACGGTTTACAGAGATTTTCATTACCAGTAAATATGGCTGAATACAGACATGCAAATCTGCAGTGTTTACATTAATATCCAGGTACATGTACATTTTAATATGATTCTCTAATAAAGGTAATAATTAAATGATAAGACAAATATGTGCATAATAAAGAAATCCCTGGGAAGGGAATAGTATCTGTTAGGCACATTTACCCTTTTAGCCACTGTACAAGTGTAACAGTCTAATACACTTAACCTTTAAGCCCTAGTCTGTCACGCTTAACCTTTCAGTCATGGTCTGTTAGTCACACTTACCCTTTAAGCCACAGTCAGTCAGGCTAAACCTCTCTAGTCACAGTCTGATTGTAACACTTTCCCTTTCAGCAAAATCTTTTTTTTTTGTTACACTTACTCTCTCAGTCACAGTCTGATTGTCACACTTGCCCTTTCAGTCACGGTCTGTCTGTCACATTTACCCTTTCATCCACAGGCTGTTTGTTACATTTACCATTTCAGTCATGGTCTGTTTGTTAGACTAACCCTTTCAGTCATGGTCTATTTGTCACACTTACCCTTTCAACCAAGCTCTGTTTGTCACTCTTACCCTTTCAGCAATGGTCTATTTGTCACACTTACCCATTCAGTCACAGTCTGTTTGACACACTTACCCTTTCAGTCATGGTCTGTTTGACACACTTACTCTTTTCAGTCACGGTCTGTTTGTCACACTTACCCTTACAGTCACGGTCTGTTTGTCCACACTTACCCTTTTAGCCACAGTCTGTTTGTCATACTTACCCTTTCAGCCACAGTCTGTTTGACACACTTACCCTCTCAGTCATGGTCTGTTTGTCCCACTTACCCTCTAAGCCACGGTCTGTTTATCACTTACCCTTTCAGCAATGGTCTGTTTGTCACATCTTATCTGGGGGACCCTCTGTGATCAGAAGCTGATGTTTGTGACCTCACAAGCTCAGGTAATATCTGCCCTCTGTAAATCAACAAAGAAAGATACAATAACTCTAAATATACTTTCAAGACACAACAGTCATGTAATTATGTTAAAACCATTTGACTGGAATCCCCCCATCACTTACTGATTTCCACCACCAGACACTGGAACAGCTCTTTGTGGGGGACCTTGAGAATGATGTTCCCAGAGTCAGCCTCACCCCCCAGTAAGAAGTACGCCTGTTTAGAGGTGATCAGAAGACATCAGTCTGTCTTCTCTCCTCAGCTGTTCTACAGCTATGAAACTACAACCACCACATAAACAATTTAAAGATTTAATTACTTTCTAGTCTTTTAACATTTTACACCCACTTTGTTTCACAGTGGTCTTCAATTTTTTACCATTTCTTACCATAACATACTTACATACAAACAGATTACTTATTAATAAATACATAAATATAAGAAAAAGATTACAAATTTTCTTATATGCAAAAATTTTCACACAAAACTCACGACTTAATACATGCGAAAGTCTGATTTAATTGATAGATGATTTTTCTTTTATCTAATAATTACAATTCCTCCAGGTTCCTCTTGTTGAGATCATGCAGTAGTTTCTGTGACTTGGCATCGTTTTGAGAATAAGGAGGCAGCAGCATCCCTGCCCCATGACAGCACCGTGGGAGTCGGAGGGTCGGGGGACTGATCCGAGAGCTGCTACTGCTGGTGTCCCTGATAGCGTTAGCTGCACCCGAGGCAAGGTCGAGTACTCCGACTACAGGCTTAGTCACCGTACCAATCACTCCCTTCCCTATCCCTGTCACAAGGCCCTGATAACACATAAAGCAAATTACAGCTGAAAAATTCAAATATAATTTTTTTTAAAAACACTTTTCCCTTTTTCTACTAGTCTTCAATTACTTAAAATTTCAGAACCCTTTGAATTTCCTGCAATGAATTACCTCAATACCATCTTCCTTGAAGCCATCATAGGGCTGAGTGAATATACTGGTCACAGCACCAAACAGTCCATTACCAAAACCTTTGACTCCAGCCAGTATATGCCCCCCGCTGGACTGGGCACCGGCTCAACTGCTCCCGTCTGTCCTGGTAATTTTTGTCCATGTTCAGTGTCCCAAGTCCATCAGATAGTGATCCTACAACCTATAAACATCAAACAGCATAAAACACTTTAAAGAAATCATTTTCAAAATCTATTCTAAATTGCTGATTCAAAAGAATATTAACCACTAGGAAGTAACATGACAAATGCACGGTCTATATGTAAAAATATTATGACACTTTTTTAAATTTGAGTTTCAACACTTTGAATAATGTACATTTAATGAAAAATATTGTACAATTTGAACATAAACAGTAGCATGTACTGCTTATCAAGTTGCAAACTAAGCTAATTACCTTGGCAGCCGAGTTGGACACTCCATGTGTGACGTTCGTCAGGAGACCCCTCACATTGCCATCATTGATCAGACCTGAAATTCCCTCTGTGACATCATTAAACAGACCCAGGGGATTCCCAAGGAAGTCCACAGAACCCAGGATCTTGGCTGCCTGACTCTTCAGCTCCTGTCAAACAAGGCAATCCATACAATGAACATTATATAAACATCTACATCTACATACTGTAAACCAGTTTTTATACGCGTCATTTTTTATTCGCGACTGACCGCTCAACTAATCCGCGACGATTTATTTCCGCAAACAAGTTGTCACATTTTTTTTCCACAAGTATTTTTTGTATCAAATTAAAACCTTATATCCACCCCTAAACTAGGTTAAATGCTACCATGAGTACTGCTTACGCATTATTCAAGCCAAAGGGTAATTATTAC